AAAAAAATAAAAATTAATAATACATCATTATTTGCATCTTCTATTTCCTGGAAATCAACATCTATATTTCTTATTTTAGGTGGTTCAATAGAAGTAGCCCGCTGTTTTTCCTTTTGAATAGTAGTAGATTGACTTTCAATTGATTCTGAATCACTAATTTCTATAATTTCTTGAACATTAGCATTATTATCACTACTATAATCTGAGACAATCGTCATTTCAGAGCCATTTTCAAACCCCCAAATTTAGAACTTAATTCAGGGTTATCAAATTCAGAACCTTCTATGCTTTCTAATTTGGGACCCTGCATGCCTTTTAATTCAGGACTTTCTATGCTTTCTAATTCGAGACCTTCTAATTCCGAAACTCCTAATTTGGGACCTTCTAATCTAAGACCTTCTAATTCAGGAATTTCCATTTCAGTATCTTCTATTATGGTACCATTTATAGTGGAATAATTAGATTCAGTAATATCTGAATTACAACTTCCATTATCATTATCGTTATAAGTTTCGAATAGAATATCACTTGTATTTGTATCACTATGAGGATGCTGACCGAATACCATACGGTAAGGTGTTGTTTTATGTGAAGAACAATGTTGATTGTTCATCGCCCCTGTATAATAATTAAATAAATAAATATTAAATAAAAATTAAATAAAAAAAATTAAAAAATATAAATAAAACTAAAAAAAAAAAACTATAAAAAAATACTTACAGATAACATTTTTTAAGCCAATGCTCCAATCAGTTCTTCCTGTATCCTCCATCCATGCTCCTAGTTTTATTTCAAGAATGTCATTACCTTTCTCTACAAGGCCTTGACATTGGGGGTTTCAGGGATGACCATGTACCATTTTTACTGTAGGCCAGAAGCTCAACATTTCCTTAAAAGTATTACCAACGAATTCTCCTCCATTATCAGTATGAAGAATTGCAGGAGGACCATATATAAAACAAAAGTTAAGGAATGTCGCGGCAGCTTCTTCAGCAGATTTAGATTGAGCTGGTTCAGCATAAGAGAACCGACTGAAATGATCTCTTATGTGAAATATATATTTGTATTCTCTATCAGGTATGGCCATCATATTAATTGTGTCGAACTAATAAAAATTAAATTTTGTTAACTATATTAATTTCAATTAAAGTTAATGTAATATATCTACTTGAACATGATTTAGAAAACCTTCAGAAACAATAGGGCGCATTAGTGGAACTCTTTTAGAAATACGTCACGTAATATACACCTTGCATTCATGAATCACATCCTCGACTAACTGCTAGGGAATATAGCAATATCTAACTCGAATCTAATAAAAAGATTAATTCTATTTTTTTTTTTTTTAAAAAAAAAAAAAAACTACCTTTTTCCAGGTTTTTTCTTGCCCACCATGCTCAGTAGCTTGATGGGCAGCGCAAATTACTTCATAAAAATTTTCAACATAACAAACTTGTGTTCCGAAATTATTTCTATCTTGTTTGAGTATGTGTAATTCCTCCATTATGCCAATACAAAGTATTTTAAAAGTATTAACTACCCAGTGTTTGAATGTCTGATTACATTGAAGGTTTGAATTTTTTAATATATTTAAATATTCATTATAACAGTTTCTATCCATTAAGCTTTGCTTGTTTTTCCTTTTGTTAATAAAGTTTTCTAATATATGGTCAAAGGTCTCATGAGTCACGAAACTGTATTCTTGCGAATCCATAGGTGTTGAAAAAAATATGTAATACACAGTTGGTAAAGATCGATTCGAATATATTGAATGAATAGAATAAATGAACCATGCAACAATAAAAGATTTATCTTTATAAATATCAATGTAAAATATCAATGTAAATATCAATGTAAATATCAATTTAATTATCAATATAATTATTAATATAATTATTAATAATTATTATCGTCATGATAAAATACATAATCATCAGTAGTTTATTACATCTCATAATCTGCATTATGAATAACCTGGATCATTTATCAATCGGTGAAAATCGAGAAATGACACATGTCAATTAATAATCGACGTGAATTGAAAAATGACATGGAACATAAATACTAAAATAGTAATAATATGCTACATATTCAGTATTTAAAATAAACTTTATATGCATAGACTTATGCTTTACTGATGAATATTTATAGTTAAATTAACTATATATGATCTAAATGTCACTTACATTATATATTACCTAGTATTACCAAGTAATCCTTATCTAATAATAATTCGCAATATATATGAAATATAGTATATGTGATATTTATATGTGAAGCTTTACAATGTTTACTGATTGTTACTCTAAACTGAATCTATCATATATATATATTAATATATATACATATTTGTGTGTATAACAATTGATCTCTTTTTTCATAAAATATATTTTCATAATAAAACAATAATTATATATTTAAAATAAAATGGGTTTAAACAAAACTAAAAAACAACTAAGTAATAAAAATAAACAAAGAGCAGATACAAGTGAAAAAGAAGACTCAAACCAGTCTAAGATAGAGTTTGAAATAAATGAAAATGGATCAGATTTTAACATTGATAATGAGACTTTTGTAACAAAAAATATTTTAGCTTTACTTAAGTAACTAGAAACCTTGAAAAGACTTCAAATTGCTTGTAACAAAGAGGTTAAGAACCAGAAAGCAGATTCCAATTCAGATAATATGGATAATGACTCATCCAAAAAAAAAAGGACTAAAAGGAAGAAAAATTACAAAAAGGATAATACTTCGAGTTCAGAGATGGAAGATACTAATAATGAGATTCTATTATATACTGTATATAATATTTCTAATTTAAATCTTTATATAATTTAATAATTTATAATTTAAAGTTGGTTCCAATTAAAAAACCAAATGAAGCAATATATATCGATATCTCTAAAATACTCAAACTGGACAAACCTGTATATAATAACTATCAGGTAGAATTTTATTACATTGTATAATTATAATAAATAAATAATTATAATAATTATTAATGTTATCTAGAAATCACTTCATTTGATAATTACAGCTAAATATGCAAAGCAAATGCCTAAATTTCGAAAAATTTCAGAGAATGAAAAGAGTGAAATTATTAGAAAGGCAAATATAATCATAATTTAATTGTATTGTTGATTGCTTAAAATA